CATTGTTTACCTTCTAGTTTATTTATCTTGATATGTTTGAGCTATATGAATAGTTTAAATTCCAGAAATCTTTCAAGGAATCAGAACCAGCGATGTAGTTGTTCTTATTGTTGCTTGGTGACGGCCTTGTCCTGAGGTGAGCGTTCAGCTGAGCGTCCCGTCACCACCGGATTTGAACCCGTGATATACTCTTTGATTTCCTCCAGGTTACAACCCTGCGTAAGAGAGTGGAGGAGCTCAGTAAATTGTAAGTAGAGCTGGGCAGGGCATCTCGCCTGCCGCCTCCAGGCTCGCTGCATGTTAGCATGAAGGAAGGTCAGAGAACCAGAGCGCCACCTTTGGTCGAGAGACACCACTGAAGAAGAGACAACTGAAGGGTTTGTTTCCAAAAGTGACGTCTGTTTCCTGAAGATTCACTCTGGAAAAATGACAAAGCAAAGTGAGGAAGTTTAATGTCCTCTGTCTTATAAAACAGTACCACAGCTTTAATAAGGAGGTCTGTTAGCATCTGTCAGACTCGATAAGGTTTGAGCTAAACATGAGTCAGCTATCTTGACTGCATTTTTAATCATTTCTAAATAACAGTTTAGTTCATTTTTTCTTAGACGTTTTTTATTAACAGAGACATTTTGGAATCAAACTCTTCAGGTGTTTAAATGAGTGCTCAGACAGGTGAGTAAGAGCCGATGAAGTCAAACGTCTCTGAACCATCCATGTGTCTTCTTGGGGAAATATATACGACAGGCGTTTTAAAGCACAAGTGATCAGAAAATCAGTTATTTACAAAATTCAGGATGAAATGTCATCATAGAAACTGAACATCTAGTTCAAATCAAACTAAAGTAAAAACATTGTAAACACTGATCATATGCACGCCTGCCATATTGCTTTCCCATGATGCCTCGGTCTGCAGCTTTTAGCCCATGGAGCCTGTTCAGAAGAAGAGAGGGACGGGAGTTGGTCTCCTGCAACGTAAACGTGTCCTGGTGGGTGTTAAAGCTGCTGCTGTATCGTTTTTTCAGGTGCTCACGCATAGGAAACGCATTGATGAGTTGCAGAAGCAGTAAGTACTGTCGCTGCTGCGTTCACTGACAGATAGTAATCTCAGAACTCTAAAAACATAACTTCATAACTCCATTTAACTCCAACTTGCTGTTTGGGTGAGCGTCACAACCCTTCTCTCCATGAGACATAACTGTCATAACATAAACACAGCTGTTTATGGCAGGAAACCATTAGAACAAAAAAAGCTCCAGCTCTTTTTTTTAAATTTTGTGTTTGTTTACAAGCAACTGAATTCTGACATTTCAGAATCTGCATTTAGGATGAACTCTAAGGCTGAGCTGAGGCTTTTACCCCATGATAATCCAAATTTATATAGATTCAAACAAGCCATAAACGCACCAAATCCCCACTAACACCACCAACCAACCCAAACCCTCATCCAAACTGTGTGGCAGTCAGCTCTGCAGCAGAGGACCCCGTCACAGGCCATACACACGTTACACAACACGGCAGCTGCAGGACTGTGCTGCCACCAGCTTCTAATAAATAATCTATTCCCTCAGCAGGTCAGAGTTTTAGACTTTAAAACTGTCATGCCTTTAGCAAATAATATAGTGACTGACAAATGATTATATTATGCTGAAAACTACAGTTTTTAAAACAAAACACTTACATAACAAAAATAACAGATTTTATTACCCGAAACAATGCATCCTTTTGTCAGGGGCCCTTGTCCTCATACTGACACATTCACTTCAGTGTGTGGGAGAGCCATTACAACAGCCACTCCAAAGATGTCCATATTAGGTTGGTAGCTGTTGGACTCAGTAATGATTTGGTCTGTGCAGGTAAGGTCTGCATGAGTGTGTCACTGACGAGTGGTGTTCCAGCCTGGAAATGTTGTTTTTATGTTTTCTGTGTGATTCCAAGAAAAGTACTTTTGTGAAATTACATATTCATTTAGTTATTTAGTAGACTTGAGTTAGGCTTATTATTTGGTGATCAAGGCAGATAATTCATGTGTATCTAGCCTCCATTTATCAATACACAAAACATGGGGACTTGATATTGTGGATTTCTATGTCAGAAATTTAAAAAAACCCTGATCCAGCATGGTTGTACAAACCTTAGTATTTATGTATAGATATTTTTGAGGGAACAAAAAAACTCTTTTCTATGACTTCACTATTGCTTAGGAGCCATTGAGCAAGGCACCAATCCCTGATTACTCAACTGTGCACAAGATCACACGTGTGGGTTTTCATGAACGTGCGCAGCCGTCAGCTATCCCACGTGTAAAATGTTGAAAATAACCCCATAGTTCTGACACGTGTCCCATTTTCTTTTGTATTACAGCAGCAAGAAGGGAGCCGCCGCCCGCCGCAGAAAGTAAACGAGCCCTCGCCTCTGCTCAGAAACCAAACTGCGATCGTCTCGGACTAGCGCCTGATGAAGCAACGCACATTGTGGCAAAGGTCGCACCTCAGAAGAAGCAAGAAATGCTGTGGTTCACCCAGAAGTTACCAGCTCACGTCTTAATTTATGCAACCAGGAGCCTTTAGCTGCTGTTCAATAGGAATAAAAAGTACTAAAACTGATTCGCCTTCTCGCTTCCTCACAATCGACTGTTTGGTTCTCACTATTTTTGTAAATAAAGTGTGACTCTTCAAGCCATGTCTATAGATCTGTTGTTCTTCAGAAATCAATAAAGTTCAGTATTTTTAGTCATGTAATTAGTCATTTGTTCGGCACTGTTTTCTTAGTGCAGGGTTAAATTGGACTTGGTGCTTCATGATGTAGTCACAAAGAAACAGACCATCACCACAAAGTCAAAAACTTTTATTGTATCCATCAGACTCTCAAAAGGTATTTTATTATAAAAAAGAATTGTGCTAAAGAAAAAAGGAACATAGGGGATTAGATTTGCATAATTACATCATAGTTGTTAAATTTACAAATGAGGGCCTTTGCAAAAGTGAATGGTCTGTGTTTATATCAATCTTTTAAGGTCTGGATGACCTAATTTCTGTGCAGCACTTTCTCTATCAAACATTCACAGCCGTCAGAGGCAATTTGAGATTCTTTGCCCATAGGCAGGCTGAACGAGGGAGACTGGGATCAAACTGCCGGCATTCTGGTTCATAGACAACCAGCTCTACCCCCCGAGCCAAATGCAGCCACCTTTGAGAAGTATTGAGCATATCTGAAAAATACATATCTGAAAGTTAAAGTAGCTTAACGTCAAGGGTTTTTGTAAGAAGAACATATTAGGTGAAAAAGATCAGTTCTCCAGAGAATGGCTGTCTGCATGGAATGATTTATGTCATCATTATTTATTAAGGTTTTTTGAGGTTTGGATGAAATAATCAGAATAATGTCAGCATGTGTTGGGGAGAACAGGAAGCAGGCCTGTGGGCAGGTCTATAAAACCCAGCAGAGCACCATCAGTTTGGTGGCCATGATGATTGAAGCTAGGGGCAGATGATAATGTGGGTGAGGGCTCAACTCCAGATGAGTTCATCTACTACAGAGACAACATCAGGGCTGATGTGGTCACGCCTCTGGTTCTGGTTAAAATCCTGGCAGCTGAGTTCAAGAGTCTCGAGTCCATCAAAAGAGTTTTGGATGAAATACAAATAAAATGGGTGTGAAGAAATAAAAGCAAGAAAAACTGTCTGTGTCTCTCTTGAAATATGCGAAACTGGCAGTGAATATGTGCGATTCCCAAATTTAGCACATTTTTTATTACTGAGGAGATCTAAACCATTTATACTCTGCCTGTTGCTGGTAGAGCACATCTAATGCTGTGTGGTTGTACATTCCAGCAGCTGGGAACACAAAGCTGCTTCATAAATGTGTGATTTCACCCTCAGAATAAAGACAGAACATCAGCCAGAAGAGCCAAGGACCTCTGACAGGTTCAGATCCAATGAGTAGGTCAGTGTGGAACAAAGTGTGTTTGGACTTTATAGACAAGTGTTGGGAACAGGTGTGACATGGTCCAATGACTGTGAGTGATTCTTAAAGAAAAGTTTTGCCGTCTGAATCGACTGCGGCACCAGTGGCCACTTTGGAAGACGTAGGCCTTTACAATCCAATGCGATCCAACACAATCTGTCATTAACAATCACCATCAAATGATGTTTTAGCATAGATATCAGTACTGGACTGCATTATGTATATAGCTATCTTACTCCATAATTATGTGTGTGATGTTATGTCTCCCTTATTCATTACGAGGACTGAAAAGTAGAAACACTTCAATAGGATGCAGAATGTACAGTGTCTAATGTATATAATAATAATGACTTCGTACAAATTGATTTTGAAACTTTCACTGCAAAACTGATGATTTAAGTTTTTTGGTTTGAAAGTTGGATCATGTGGAACAGAAATACCTGCAGATTTTCTCAGTGATCACATGGTGGCGCTGTTGATCTTTGGGTCTGTGACCAGACGTTTTAACAGCCTTTTGTTGAAGACAAAGTTTTTCAGTGTTTGTAGAGAATGATCTTAAATCTGACAGTGTCTTTATATCATGATGTGTGGTGATTATCATATTCACAACATAAAGATATAGAATAAATAAGATGTATTTTATATCAATATAACAACCACTGTATATATATATATATATATATATATATATATATATATATATATTATGTAACATTTGTAAAAAATAATATGATCAAACAATGTTATGTGATATGTTGTAATTAAAGGTAATGGATGGGGGATAACTATGTATTAACTATGTAACTATTATTACCTTTAAAATTAAATCCCAGCTACAGTTACTGTTTATAAAGGCTACATTTATGAAATCAATGTAAAATCTGTATGTAGCCTAAATGCAGCAAAATATTCAATGTTTTCTTGTAGTGTACAAAAATTGGCCTGTATGTATGAAATAAAAATAATAAATAATCCATAGGCTTAAATAGCACACAATCATTAAATAATTGTACATTAAAACATGTTTTGTATAAATAAGCAGGTTCATTTATTTGTCATTAGACTGTCACTCAGTTTTCAGATGTATAAATATAAAGTTTAAACATTTTCACAACAAACAGAAGCACATACTGACAGAAACATTAAATACATAATTAATACTTTCAGTTGGAACAAATCAGCTCTTATTTACATAATATGTACAGAAACAGAAAAATGGTCCTCCGCTGCAGTGAATGAAATTGATAAATGAAATCCATATAACACTACGTTTACTCCTCTAATACTTTAATCGTCTAATCTGAGGGATTTAAGAGTCTGTAGTAGTATTTTTTATTAAGTATTAAAGTTTTACTACAGATATCTGGTACTTTTTAAATAAATCATATTATTATTGTACTTCTTTTTTTCCTGAGGGAATTCAACWGCTGGGGCTTTTAGAACTTCAGATGGACGAATGTGGAGGAATGTAAATGGATGGTTTTTGGCCTCCGTCCATCAAATAGACTACACACAGAAAGGAAGGAAAATCTATCTGAACGACTCGGCTGAGCCTTAAAATAGTGTTTTCATAATTTAAAATAAAAAAATACAAGAACTGAACTGATCGCTATTTATCAATAAACCTTTTTTAAGAAATGTTTGCAAAAACTACATTTTCCAGCATCCAAGTGGTTTGAGCTCCAGTCTAGACCACATATATTCCAAACATATGCGAAACTATGGAAGGTCATTGCTGCCACAAAAAACAATGCTCGTTTAAGAGGTTAATCACTTGATATATGGAGTCAACATTACAACTGACTTTGTATCTCCACTCATATTTTTGCATTTCTGTCACTTTTTTTTATTTTGAAGAAAATCCACTAATAATTTGATATGATAAAACAATTGAGACAGTCTCTCTTGTTATTATTATTTACAGAGTAATTGCAGGTATTATTTGACTCTTTTATATGGAACTGTTTTTTCATTCCTTATTTTACAACTATGAATAAGATTTAAGAATAAATGTTTTTGCTCTTTAGAGGCCTGTTTTCAGAGCTTATATCTGTGTCTCATGAGCTTCATCAATGCATGGAGCACGCTCAGTGTATAACAAATCTATAAATGAGATTTATAAAATATCAGAGCCTGTTTGTTGATAGAGACTAAGATGCGGCTGAAAGCCCAAACACTATTTAGGGGTAAGGGAGTGGGCCAAAGATTTATTTTTTTCACTTTTTAAATGATAAACTACTAAGAAACCTTCATTCTCATCTTTTCTTTTTTTGACAGGAATGAGCTTCCATATGTTGATCTACAGAAAATAAAAGCAGATGTGGAGGGATGTTGAGAAAACTATAAAAACTTAACATGTGATGCAAACAGGGTGTTAAGAATCAGTTCAGTCACTATAACATTATCACTTTCAGTGTGTGTGTGTGTGTGTTTTTATGAGTGGACTGTGTGAGAGGATGTGAATTGTCCCAGGTTTGAGGGTCTATAGGACTTGGTAGATCAGGTTGGGGTCCTGGCTGGCAGTCGGAGAGGGGACCTGGAGGGGTCCAGGCGCTGCTGTCTCACCCGTCTGGTCGGTTGGCGGGGACACGGGGCCGTCCACAGCTGGCATCAAGCTGCTGTTGTCGGTGGAGATGCGCTCCACAATGCTGGAGAGACAGTCGAGACTGGAGACCACCGATCTGCGGTCACTCTTCTGACCACCTGCAGATAAAACCAAACACGAGTTAATACTTCAATTTTTTAAAAATTAAAAATGTGGGCTGAATTATTTTAAATGCAACATGACAAAAATGTGGACAGTTATATGTAAGATATTCAACAGAACTGACGATCTTACTTATAAATTAGCCGTACGCTAATTAGCCGTAATAATTTAAACCAAAAAAAGCTTTGAGTTCATCTCAAACTAATTTGTCTCATAATTGAACGTGTCAAATTTAGGATGATAGTTATAATAACAATAATATAATATATATTACAGATCAGACTCATCTAAAGGAGCTGTTTTACTACCAGAGATGAATGAAGTGGTTCATTATTTGAATGAGTGATTATAAGAGGCCTGTGAGCTGGTTATGTCCCTTTGCTCAGTGGATTCTTACCGTTTGGAGTCTGGGAGAAATAAGAGCTGCTTTCATAACTTCCTCTCCTGGTGGACTGACAGGTCGGCCCGTTAAAATCCGTCTGAAGGAAGAAACAGAGACACTGATTCAGAGAGGACTCTACGATATCAAAACTCCATTCACACACACACACTGATAACTTACACTTTTAGAGCTGTTGAAAAAAAGTATCATTTCATAAGATAATGATGAAAAAATGAAGAAAATACTCGAGATTTAATGAGAAATAAAAAGGTGGAATAAGTCCCATTGAGCACAGACACACTAGAGAATTACAAATATTTCAAGTTTTAAGTTTAGTTTTCCTGAAATGGTTAAATTATCGCGGACCAACGAAAAATGACCCATCGTATTAATTCATTATTAACAAATGACAAAACGAGCTCCAGCTACAGTCCCATGTGTCAGAGCCAGAAATTAATATAATGTGAATAAATAAAATAAATTATATTTATGTGGGCAACAAAATAGCAATCAACTAAATATGTAAATTAATTTATATAGAAGGTTAAACTCGTCTCAACACGTTTCACATTTTATTCAATCTATGCCCGGGCTCAAATTATTTACTTAATATTTGATTGCAATATGAAAAAAAAAAAATAATAACACTTTTAACTTTTAAGAACTGCCGTTTTTATGCATTGTAACATTTCTCCTAGTAATACTTTAACGAAATACAAACATGTGGATGTTCATATAAAATGTGTGATTGTATTTTAATAGTGAGGGAAAGCTACTTTAGACTGTGTGATGTGAACGAAACTGTTGATTCCCCTATGACAGATAATTACATAGTAATGAAGAAGTGCTTGTAACGTTCACTGTTAGTAAAAGGTGTTGGAAATAACAGAGCGTAAAACCACAGGCCTTGTGTGGTTTCATGTATTTTACACGGGGATTTGAAAACCTCCGTGTGAATTTAGGTCAACGCGTGGAAAATGGCTGAGTGTGGTCAGAACTGACGGAACAATGAAGACATATTTCAAAATACAAATAAGGAGTAGGGCTAAACAAGAGAATAAAACATCCATGCGTAAAGCCTCGCTGGAGAAACTCGTGGAAATATGAAATCCAGTCAAAGCGCACACTTCTCCACTCTCTCCCCCTGTGTCACAGCTGTCAGTCCCTGGACTCACCATGCCGTCGGAGCAGTTGGAGCGGGGGCTGGAGGCGTCTGAGTCCCCGCTGTAGTGCTCCAGCACCGGGTAGAACCCGTCGTCCTGGCCGCCGCGCAGCAGCGCTTGCAGGGACTCGATGTAGCTGATGGCGTTGCGCAGGATCTCCACCTTGGGCAGCCGCTGGTTGGGGTTGGCCGAAGTGCAGCGCTTCAAGGTCTCAAAGGCGTCGTTGACCTTGCTGAGCCGCCGGCGCTCCCGCATCGTGGCCGCCTTCCGCCGGTCCGCGTTGGTGGTCTTCCGCTTGCAGGCCTTGCAGGCCCAGAGCAGGCAGCGGCCCGCCTGGTGGTGCCCACTGGGGGCACGGACGTGCTCGTCGTCCTCGACCTCGGCGTGGTGGTGGAGGTGCAGGAGGGAGGATGGTGAGGAGGAGGAGGAGGAAGGGGAGGATGAGGATAAAGAGGAGGAGTCGTCCGGCTTCAGCAGGCCCACATGGACCAGCCGCGGGTCCAGGTCCTCGAAGAAGTGCATGTCGCTGGTGTTGAAGCAGGGGTCATCGTAGAAATCATCAGCCGCGGGGATGGGGAAAGACATATCCGACAACTCCATAGTTCAGTCCTTGGCACAGCGAGCGAGAAGACAAATCCAGTGGAAGACACAGAGGAGTCTGGAGCTAAAAACAAACGCAGGAAGAATTGGAAGGAGACAGTGGTGCAGTCTGAGTGTTTTCAGGGGGAATGTAAAGTCCTGTCACAAACTGGTGTGTCCCCTCAGCTGTCTAGTTGGACCAACTTATACCTGGGACACCAGGGGGGGGCGGGGGCCGGGCGACCGTGTCCACTGGGGTCTGACCAATCAGCAGCCAGCGGGAGGGGTTTACAACTTCACGCTAATTAGTGTACAATTACCCCTAACAGAGCTGCGCGGGGGGGTGGGGGGGGGGGGGGGGGGGGGGGGCGCACACATGTGGACTGCTTCATACTGAGGACACATTACGTGCTGGTTACAATCACAGCACATTACAACACTGTGTCTGTCTTAACGTGTAGATTTCTCTGATACATCTGAAATACATTCTTCAGAATCACAAATAGTTTATTCATCCCGGGGGGAAATTGGGGTAAAGGTAAATGTACTTGTTGATTAATACATCCTATTTTCATTATTAATGCTACAATTTTTTTCACATGTATACAATTGTGTTAGATGTGTGTTTTTTATAAGATAGCATGTCGTTTAAAAATTGAAACTTAAATCTATAAACCTACTCAATCGAAAAAGTAAAAATAAAGTGGGCTAAATAAGTACATGTAACTAAACGAATAAAAATAAAGTAATAGGAGGCATATAACCTTACCCTAAATCTGTGTGACCCCCACTAAGTGTTTATAGGCAGTCTAAAGATATATGTTTTTATTTTTTATATATTCAAAATACACTGAAAATAATGTAGCTTTGAAAGTGTTAATTTACTGTATTTTATATGAAAACACATGTTATCTCTGCTGTTAAATTATCATCATTGTAGCCTCAGCTTTGTTTTATCTATTAAAAATTGTATTTATAATTTAATACTTATTAATGTACCTTAAAGCTTACGTCAAATACACAAAACTAGAAAACTAGATATACCTCTCACAAAAACATGGCCTTCATAGAGAGGAATTTAGATGAAACACACGTGAAAACACCACTAGAAATATTTTATATTACATTTTTCGCAATAGATCAATGTCACCTAAATCTTACAAAATGGGACGTTTAAACTTTGCTAATGTTATTTAGTTCTAGGATCTAATTGTTGATGAATTTCTATTAGTCGCAATTGGAACGGAAGTACTTTCTTTTTGAGTTTCTGAACCCCTCAGTTCAGACTGTGATGTCAGAGCTGCTTCACTTCTGTGGAGGAACATCACACATCCAAACTAAGCTGAAATGCCTGTGGGCACTGAACATATTCAATGTCTTTACACAGCCAAACGCCATTTTTAAAGTGTTAATACTGCATGAAAGTGTGAGCCTGGTAATCAAGTAGAAATGTCATTGAGTTTAATTTTAGACCTGAGTGTTTATGTGTGTGCACGCAGAGATTCACTGAGCTCCTCCTCTCCGGCCTGCAGCTCTCAGCTGTCATCACAGCACCCACCATCCACACACGTTACAGGCAGATTAGTGATTTTCACTGTATATGCACCAAACTTTGCAGCTCGGTGTCGTGCAGCATGCAGCAGCGGTGATCTGCAGCAGGAGGGCGCTGCAGAGCAGAGAACTGACTCTCGCTGCAAAGCCCAGCAGAGGTGTTGGTCTTCTGTCCTGTTATAAACCTGTGCCAGTCAGGAGTGACAGATGGTTAGAAGCTGTGCTCTGTGGATGTCGCACAAAGTATTCAAACCCTCCACTCATAGGATTATCACTATCACTTCATAATGACTGACAGGTCTTTTAACGCAAGGCTTAACCCCTGACAACAACCAAATAACTAACAACTAACAATCAAAAGTTGTGGATGTCTTTTGATCACAATAATGTTTTTGTTATATCAATGATAAGTTCAACACACTTTGGATGTATAACTTAATATAATAATAAAATAATAAATAGATAAAAGGTCAAATGACTTTTCTTTATTTACATGAGAGAAAACACTGATGAACACAGTTTCTTCACTCAAACTTTATTATAAATTGTCAGACACTATTGAGAATCAAATCAGCAATAGTGTAAAAACTATTCCAATACATCAGGGCTTCTGAAGCAAAATAATCAAAAGTCACAAAACAAGAATCTATGATAAAAGTGAATACACTGTGAATGAATAATAAACAATATCAATTATCTGTTGGAATGCACACATTCACAAACAAAGATGTGAGTGGCAGAAAACTGTATTTTCCCTTTGCAACTGGATTTAAGTACATTTGGGAAACATTCATAGTTCTTGGAAATAATAAGTCAAAACAAACCTTGTGTACAGTTTTGTAGTTGGAATTCCTCAAAGGATAGTGTGAAAAATATATACTCTTAATAGAAAAAGTGTGGAGAAATTTACATTATATCCACTTACGGTTAATCCAAGTTATCACAAGATAGAGCCAACAATACATAAATATATGATATATAATAATAAATTGTAATATCCTCCATGTACTGAACGCAGACAAAAATCTCACAAAATGTCAGATTTAGTTTCAGAGGGGTGGAGTATTATACTGTTCACTGGTCATGTCTTCCTTTAAGGTGAAGCAGATCGATCATCTGGTGAGTTCTTCCTGAAGCTCATTCAGGATATACTCCCCAAACCCCCTAGTTTTGTCATTGGTGCAGCCCGTCCGACGGGCACTGGTGAGCAGGTCGCCCAACAGTTTGAGACGGTCAACCCGTGGTGCCAAGAAGTGGCTCTTCACAACGCTGGCCGTGTGCGGGTCCCCGTGCTCGCGGGCCAGCTGGCTCAGCTCCACCAGCACGCCGGCCTCCTCTTTAAGCTGGAGCAGCAGCAGCTCCAGAGCTGGTAACACAGCACAGACCGCCTCACAGCCCGGCTTCTGACAATCAAAGACACAAATGCCATGATGGGATTTCACGATTTCATCTGTCAAGAGTGCATATTTTAAAATCTCAATTGACTGATTCATTAGGTTTGAGTACTGGAGCTCCCTAAACCAATGATGGAAAACATGGTCTTCATCCTCACAGTAACCTATAGATTACATGTGCAACCTCAAGATTAAAAGACAAACGTTGGCATTGGAGTTTCTGTGCCACTGTGTGTGTGCTTCAAACAATGGAGACTGAAACTGAGCCGATCATGTTGGAATTGGAGCCAATAAATGTTGAACTGTAGATATATATAACACTACGAGACAATATTTAGATGAATAAGATATGTATGCAACCACTGTGCTGACGGAGGCTGAAGGAAGTAACTAAAGTGCAGGTACAAGGATATGCAGCTAAGACATACCTGCAGAAGTTTAAACAGTCTAAACTTTTACTTCTCTCCTGCAGCACTGAAAACAAAGTTGACAGACTTTCTTTATAAATGATGATAAAATTGAAAATCAGCCTTATTTGACCCACTTTTAACTCTAGTGCAGTGTTAATACATCTCATCATGATAATATTTGTTTGCTGACTGTATTTGAAGTGGTAAACACAAAGCGTGTTATCCGTTCGACTTCAAAATAAAATCAACAGGAAGCTTCAAACTGTAACTGCATGAAACGTAGTGTGAAGCTGAATCAAGCTGAGCAGTAGAGGACTCTGAGACATTGTGTTGTCTTAGGTACACTGCATAGAGACACGGATAACAAGGTGTCCCAAAATGCCGCTGACTGGGCCTGGGCCTCAGTCCTGAAACGATTTTACACGACTCATAAACCTGGGGCGGTGGTCGGAGGCCACACTGTGACGCGCCAGTGCCACCACCGAAGCTGTTGGCCATCTGGAAACACCATCAGCGGCCACCGTCTCTCTGCTGCAGCATTAATCTCACCAATTTCAGGAACTGGGGGGGGGGTACACCCTGACCGGCTTACAGCCAGAGCCAGGGGAAGGTCTTCAGGGGTTTAACCTCTCTCCCTCTCTCCCTTCTCCTCTGGCCTCTTGGTATCTCAACCCAGCCCCCTCACCCGCTCCACGTCGGCCCAAATGAAGTGCTTCGCTCCAAAATGAGATCTCTGCCATTTGGAGGAAAAAAAAGAGACAGAGACACCTGCTCTGACAAAATGACAGATAGCACAGGAGGAAAAATAAATCCTCATGATGGGACGTTTTAGGAGAAACATGAGGTTGCTGGTGGTGTAAAATGAGAAGGCAGTTACAGACTGAAGCTCTTCTGTCTCCCAGATAAAGTTCAAATCATAAATTTTGTCTCAAAATGGATCCACAAATCAGCTCTTCACAGCAGATCATCTGCACGCCTCGGACGAGCCCACCCCCACACAGCTGAAGTGTCTGTGGACAACAGATGCTCTTGACCCTGACCTCTGACTAACCTCTGTGTTACACAGTACACCTACTCAAACACTGCACTTAAGTACCATTCAGAAAATACAAGTACATTTACCCAACAGCTGGAATGACTGTTTACTTTACAGTTAAATATTTTACCCACAAAGCATTTATGTATCTTGAAAATATATGATGTCTTGTTAGATATCAAATTAACAGTATAAACTAAGAAACAAGATAAACGTATCAACCAACTAAAACATGGTGCACTCTGTAGAGCTCATACCTCAAACCAACAGTCCTCCAAAGTTGCATCAAATTACACACACTCATAGATGTCATGTGCCAGATTTTTTTCAATTAAGATCCATTAATAATTTCCTGGTTAACTGGTAAAAATGTCAAACAAATGCCCTTTGTTACAATGTCCAAGAAAGTGATAAAAGAATTCCTGCATCTGCTCCTTTGGCCAGATCTGAGTCATCATGTTATGAGTTGTTCCATGCCTCATTCTTCCACCAAATTTTGCGCAGGCAAGACCAAATGACAAACCAACCAACCAAACAACCAACCAACCAAACAAATGAACAAAACCAACTAACGGACAGGGGTTAAAACATAATCCTATTGATGGGTGGTAACAATAATGCCTCCTGCTTAATTTAGCCACTATAACACATATTAATCACACAGGACTTGTACATAAAACTTCAGAAAACATGTAATGAACTTTTTGGAACTATTTACCAAATTTCAGATATTAATTTCCTCCATTGACATTTCAGAAAATCCTTATTAAAAGAGTCTGAGCCTGGAACCAGGTCAAGAAGGTCGAGCTACAAGATGACCATAAAATATTTGATGATAGCAACAAATATCTGTCAATTAACAGAAAGAGGCACAGGACTGTGTACATAATTATTAATTATCTTATTAATTATTATTATTATGTAGAAACAATGCATCCCATAAACCACTGGGAATGGTCCCTTTCCACAGTGTCTCTTCTTGAATTTAACCTTGTTCATTTCATGTTGCAGTATATTGTAGTTTGTGTCATGTGTGTATGTGTAGCGTTATATATAGTGTATAGTGTAGTAACCTTGTGTAGTAGTGTAATGTTGTCAGTGACACGGTACAGTGCTTTGTTCCCGACCACTCGGGCATCCATCCAAACAGGATTTTTTCCATGGTAACATTGAGCTCCAATATTAAGAGCTGTTGCTATTACACCTGAGAATTGTGGGTAGTGTAGTTCTCCTACACTATCCTTAAATGCAGATGATACGTACGCACTTGTGGCTTCTACAGGAGCATTTAACATCATTTCACACTGTCTTAGCTTGTGGTAAATCTACCTTGGATGGTTACAATATTATGGCTGAAAATCTGAATCTCCATTCAGACATGAGTGACATATCTTCGTCCAGAACTACGCTCTGTAGCACCTCACAACATCCCATGTAAAATATCTTGAGTTGTTACAAACCTTTTTGATTTGATCATTTAATACCATTGATGGAACAAACTCTTTCATCCTGACACTTCTCACCTGGATGTCTTTGCCGCAGTATTTGCCCCCCCTCTCAGCCAGGTAGCCCAGCATAGCCTCAGCATCAGTCTGCTGCTTCAGCGCCTCCTGGTGGAAGAAAGAAGCTACGCGAGGCAGGGCATTGTCATTCCTCTCAAACGCACTGGCCTGTAAGAGATAAAAACAAAGGCCTCACACATACCCTCAGAGTGACCATCACAAGGCCTTGTACTCAGACTTCTTTCTGTCTTTGACATTTAAAGACACACTCACACACTTGTGACTTGTAAAGCTCTGTTCAAACCGAATATGTCCAAAAGCAAAGCTGCCTTGGTCCAAAGACTCTCAGAAATAAGACCTCCACATGACTGAATCTCAAGGACAGAAGCAGTATATCTTTTGTTGCTCACCCACTATACCCACTATGCACCATTCCCTGGCTCAGGTCTTTTAGGATGAATCCAAATATCCAACATCCTCTGACTTATTGCTCTTGGATTTTCGTGTGTCCATCTGACACATCCGTTTTGTGTCCATCCTCATCATTTTTGTAAGTTTGCCACAGAGCACAGGGAAGATAAAACCTTAAGTGTTCATGGAGATATACATTATTATCATTATTATTATTTTATTAAATATCACTCTTATTACTTTCATTGTGACAACAATCTGACAGAGCTTTAATTTGATGGTAACACAACTGTTAATGGCCCAAAATCTAACAGGTACAAAACTGTGGAAAGTCTGAATAAAAGTGATGTCACTTGGGTCTGAACACAATTACCCACCAATTAACATGCTCAGTCTAAAAAAGGACAATAAGGAAGTGTATGAAAATGTTCAGAGGGAAGGTGAGCAAAGGTTGGGACGGTCTGTTCACTTTTTCTTATCCAAGGGTTGAATTTCATTTAATTATTGTGAGATGAATGCAATTTTGTTCAGAAAAAATAAAAAACTTTAGTAAGAAGGGCAATCCTGTTATCATTTTGATGACTGGTGGCTGAGGACATTATTGTTGCTATAGGCTTAAATACTGTTTTGTTCAATTACGATATTACGAGATACTGGAGGGAAAGTGCTTCTGTTTTGCATTTTCACTTACTCAAACGTATTTATTGTGATATATTAAAAAAAAAGAAAAAACCCAACCACAGTCTTCTGACAGTAGTACAGATATCCTCTGACAGTAGTACAGTCTCAGCAGCAGAGCAGACTTCATGAGGACGGACGTGTCTCCTACCAGAGCCTGCAGTTTGTACGCTCCGTCCCACACCAGGCCGCTCACGCCGCACAGAGCCTCCTCCACAGCGGCGGGCAGGTTGTGCCTGACCAGGCTGCTGCCCGCGGAGCTCCGGTGCGCTCCGCACAGAGGCAGGCTGCTCTTCAGCCTCTTCCCTGCGGGCTCTGCCATGTCACCACCCGGACAGCACAGAGCGCTGACACTTGACTGTGATAGGCTACAACCACAGGCTGCGGAGGATCATACGCACTTAGCTCCAGGTGATAAAGACACACGCCTGCTAGGAAGAAAGAACAGGAGAAGCGGGTCTTTCTCCCGTAGACCTGCGCCCCAGCAGAGGATAAATTTAGCCCGCACGCGTCAACTGCTTCCCGGTCAGCTGCTCAAGTTCATCCGGGGCGCCTGAACTGCAGCCATGAGAACAGCTAAAGTTAATCAGTGCAAAAGTCTCATCAACAGCAGCAGTAATGGAGCCATCAGTCTCCTGCTCAGATTCCCCTGTTTTTAGTTGAAAGTCACAGTGCTCAGATTTACCTTTAAGTTATTCAGACAGGAAAGAGAACAGAAGAGCTTGTCCTTTCTATTCACTAGATGTTTTTCATCTCATCAGGAGGATTTGTGAAGAGTTAACCTGCTCAGTCCTGCAGGTCCTAATGAGATTATAATGAGGGCCTCATGAGGGACAGGTTCATTGTAGGTGTCCCTTTGAAAATATAAAAATAAGAATAATAAGGATAAACATTATTTCTAGCATGCTCCAAAAGTTACAAGGTGATACATAAAATAAAGTAGCCTAAAAGTGCAAGAAGCTAGAAAATGATGGAAAGGTCAGATCATACACAGCAATGCACGAAAACAACGGAGATACAAGATCAACAATAGAACAACACAAAAAGGTGTTCCGCAATCTGTGTGCAGAGTTTGGTGCGTTTTGAACTCGTCAACGTCAATATTAGTACAAATTGAAGCAACCAGTGCTCTGTAGACGTCAGTGGGGGTGGGTGAGTGAGCCTTCAGTCTGTGGACCAAGTTGGACATAGCTGCGTTCAGACCCACAGTGGACAGGGAGTTTAGGGAATATCCCTACCCCCCTTCCCTGATCAGGGATTGTCAGTTTGGGGAACTTCCCTTCACACATTTCTCCATTTGTAACACCCTGCAACGTCACGCCTGTTGACATCACTTCCTCCGTGTGTTACGTAAACACATTGGCTACCTGTTGCTGCTACTGTGGAAAACAAAATATTGTGTTGGAATGTATGTAACTTTTGTAAAAATTGGATTTGATGAATTTACAATCTGTACGTTATCATATATATTATATTATGTGCAGAATAAGTACAGATACATATGTTGTTATCTCCATTATAATGTGCGCTCTGATCGTTTGATGGTTGTTGGAGTTGCAGTCTGTTGGAGTCAATAAATCGTTCCAGATCAGCCAAGATGTACAGCGGACTACACCAAAATCAAAATGGGATAGTTTCCGTCTGTTACATTAAATCAATCAGGCTCAGTTTCAATTGACATGTTTCAAAGTATATGTGCAAAAACTATATGTAATTGAACTGTGTTGAACTAAAGAGATTAAATTATGTTAGGTTTATATAACAACATGAATTTAATCCAAAACCCTACTGAATCTACACAGCTTTTATCCAAATGATCAGAGACTGCCAGCAAGCAGACAACAAATGCTGATTTACAGTAATAAAAGTAGTTTATTATGATTTAAGTCGTTATGATATTGACACAAGATCATCCGCTGCCACTGATGAACCCTCCTGTCTTCTTTATGTCGCTGATCAGCTGGCCATCATCGTCGTTTGTTGACCCCTGGTTCTTCCGCCTCTCCCGTTTCAGCTCAGCTCCTCGAGGCCGGATGAGTGACGGGAGGGGCTGGCGGCTCCCCGGGGGGTCAACTGGTCCAGGAGGGAAGAAAGGGCGACTGTAACCCTTGACACGACCCCCCCCTTGCTCCAGTAATCACCTGGGCTGGACTTTGCTGTAACAGTTTACAGACACACAGCAGGGGGTCAGTCACCTTCCACCAGGTGAAGCTGGAGGCCAGCATGGCAGAGGACCGGATACTCCGACACGTCCATCTGTGCTCCTGCTCTGCACTGCTGCTGTCACACATCATCCACCCTGATGGGCTTCTGCTGTCTATGGAGTTCTCTAGTGAGTCCCCCTGAATCAGACCTACAATAAGTCGTTTCTGTTTTCTTCTTTTGCGTAATGGAACTTTGGAGTTTTTCCATATACAGTCTTTATGTGCAATGAATGATTTACCAACAGTAACTGCTGTAATATTTTCATATATTGTGTGTTTATTTCAAAGTTCTGTTAAACTACTGACACAATCCTTAGACCCAAGGTCACTTTTCAAAATGAAAGCTCTGTAATTCAGCTCATTACAAAGCATGGCTCCATGAAAGGAGATCTGCACCTACAACTCCTGTGAATGTCTGTGTCAGTCCGATATGGTAAAATAATTAATAAAATGACCTGGTCGGACAGATGGCCGCAGGCGACTACCTCTGCTGAAGTTTATCAGGAAGTAGAAGAAGAATTTGCTCACAGACTGGAGCCCCACTGCCTGCTGCAGATCCCTGTGCTGCTGTTTCTTCAAATGTTATTAATACTGAATGTATGACAATTACAAATTGTAACAAATTCCACACTGCAGCCAATCAGAGCGGACAAACTTGTGACACAACACAAAAACAGACAGAAGGGCAAATAAGGGACACACTGACTGTTACCCTGAGAGTTCAGGGTTTATAGAAGTCAGCAGTGTCTCAATCCAATACATTTTACTCCCTTATGGTGGGAATACACTGTGTGATTTTGGGCTGTCCCAGCTGAAAGGTGTACAACATGTAAGAAATATGGTGATATGCTTTGTTACATTTCAAAAGAAGTTATCATTGAGCATACATGTATCTCTAGCCCCTTTTCCACTGGTCAAAAAACCCACTTGCTAACATCTGGCTTTTGTCTGCAGTTGGAATGGATCAAATCACCCTTCAGTCCTGTGTCAAATGTATCTGCAATGGACACAATTGTTTATCGGTTCCAAACTGATGAAAACGAGACACCCAGGTGAACGCACTAATCTGGGAAATAGGGAGGTGATAGAGCGTGAGAGAGGTTTCAGTGCATTTGTGACATAGACTATGACATACTGGGGAAGAAAACATAAACACTAACCTCTCTATTGACAATGGAAGAGGAGTATTTACTTGCAAAAAAACAGTGTATACCTGCTGATTGTGGTGTTAAAGAGGTATAACCTGATGTGACCCAGGTTTATTGGCTCTGTGTGTGACCTGCATTGACTTGAATTCTCAAAGTCTGTAGGTGATGGAAAAAGTATTTTGCAGAGTACTTCACATACTGAATCCTCAGAAACAAAAACCAGAGTATGAGCTTGAGGATTTTTCTTTCTTACACTATCAAAACTGTTGCAGAGTTTATATTCCTCTGCTCTTAAACCCTGACACTGGTTTTTATCTTCTCCCTCAGCTGAGCTTCAGATGACAGAACACTTTGATTCATGGCCCTGGACGTCTTCTGCTGCAGCAACCCGCCAATTCTACACACACACACACACACACACACACACACACACACACACACTGTGTTGGACAGTGCAGCTGTCAACAGACACAAAGAAACTGTGTTGTTGTTATTCTCTATCTGCACAACCTGGCAGAGTTAAGTGGAAACAGTTGACAAATAAAATAGAAGTCATTATGAATAGAAAATAAAAAAGAGCATAGGATTCAACACAATTTCTGGATGGTGTAAGCACTCACCTTTACAGCTGTTGTATGTACTGTAAAGACAAGACTAACAAACTGAACCACAGTGGTCATTAGGGCTCTTCGTTGTGTTTGGATGCTGCAGCTTTATACCTTTAATCACAGTTTCTTCACTCAGTTGTTACCAGGGCAATTTCTACTTTTCCTGTAGTTCACACTCTTAAATGATTGGCATCATTAAAATGATTGGCGTCATTAAAATGTAAATGTCTTACTCACATGGACAACGTCAAAACAAAACAGTCACACGTGTAATAATAGACGCATCTGCTCAGCCCCTTTAAGCTCTTAACCACCAGACTTTCACCATAACGATAAAGGAATAGTTCAACATTTTGAGAAATGCACTTATTTCCTCTGACGCTATTCTCATGTCTGCACAGTAAATATCAAGCTACAGCCAGTATCCTGCATGTGCATGTATCAGTGTTTGTTTTACAGAGAAGTGGAAATTGACTTTTGATCCCATTTTAAGTCACATGTTAATTAAATATTTTTAGATCTTGGTTGATTTTAACTATATATGTTAACAAGATGATTGATTTGACTTTGTTCAAGTGTTTTCAAATGATTAAAATTCAAAAATAAATAAACATATCATAAAGGTCTGTACAGAATAGTTCACAAAATAAAGTTGTATTTAAAGGACAAAGTTCATTAATACTGTACTGTATGTGTGACTGGACACACACACACACACATAACCCCCCCTCCCCCCCCCCCCACACACACACACATGCACACACACACACAAAGCACTTATTAAACCCAGACTGACAGCAGAGGTGTCAGCCTTCACACCTGCTGCCTGCCGTAAACCACCAACACTACATCTACAACGACTACATTGTCCTCCACTGGTGGCAGATTACTTTACACACAAACACACACACACACACACACTGGTGTGGATTAGCTATGGAGGCAGATCTATGCTGTGCAGACAGTTTTTTGTTTTAGTGGACTGAAGACAGAGTTCAGACTGAACAAAGTAAACAGCATGCAGACTAAGTATGTAATGATATCCATACTATGTGGATATATCTGTGATTTGACTGTATGCCACTGAAGTTATGTTTGAGTCCAGCTAAATCAACTTATCTTCTGTCTCTGTGAAAGTATCATTTTCAATGGCTTTTGGAAAGTGGCTCATATTAATGGATATTATTATTTTTAACTGTAGGCCTATTTTTCCTTGTAAAATGATTGTTTTCATTGTGTTTTCTATTGAAATACTGTAAAAAATTTCTAAACTGTGTGCAGTTTGGCTTGGAGTATGACAAATCAAACATCAGTTAACAAAATGAGTTAAATCTATGGATGAGGAGTAAGACCTCCTTTGAAGGTAAATGTTCAGGGAGCAGTTTGTGTGAATTTGACACAGTAGCTGTGTCTGTGTGTTTGTTTTCCACGTGGCCTTTGGCTGTTCTCTGAACTCCCCAGAAAC